AATTTAGGATGTATTAATTTGTAATTTTTCAAATTAAAAAAAAACATAAATTCACCTCCTTTCATCATCTTCAGCACGGTCGTCTTCCCGGCCGCGTCAAGGCCGAAACAGGCGAGGGCTATTTCGCTGAAAAGGCTTTGTTCCGTTTTCTCTCTCACTCGATCTCTCTTCCCTCTCGCACTCTCTCTGCCGCTCTCTCGCTCCCTCCCTTTGCTCTATCTCTCTATCTCCTCTCTCTCTCTCTCTCTCTCTCTCTCTCTCTCGATCTCGCAAAGAATTTTTTAGGCAAGGGCAGGCCAGCAGAAATTCTTTAGGAGGAACCGGCTTACCGCGTCGGCTGCACCTTCCTTGTGCCACAACAATTGCCCATCGGACATCACTTGGGATGGCCGCGCTGGGGGAGGGCTTCTATGCTAAAAAATGACTCAAGATATAAAATTCATTTTAATCATAATAAAAAGCTTACTGTACAAATCAAAAAATTAAAGCCTTGAATGGCTAAGACTACCGAAAAAATAATTAATGGCGCTTTTTGAACCCGAAAATGAAGCCCACGTGTTTTGAAAATCATGTTTTACAAGACTTTAAACCTCAAATCGCAAGCGTTACAATTTAAAACATTCAAAAATCCTACTAAGAATCAAAAACGACGGATAAAGCCCTATATGCAAATCGCAAAGAGGCGTTCGGCTGGGGGGGCGGCAAAAGGGCGGCCCCATCCGCCTTCTAGGGGGGGGGCTGAAATATCGTCATGGCAACAACACTGACAACTCGAATATGTTCCTTTCTCTCTCTCTCCCTCTCTCTCTCTCTCCTCTCTCTTTCTCTCTCGCGCGATCTTTCTCTTTCCTCCTCGTCTGTCCATATGTACCCAATTAATTTGGCAATCTGCCCTCCGCGCAATTAACTTCACAACCTGCCAAAATAAAGTGACTAGAAGGAGACCAGGATAAGCCAAAGGATAGCGAGAGAGAGAGAGCGAGAGAGAGAGAGAGAGCGAGAGAGAGAGAGAGAGAGAGAGAGAGAGAGAGAGGAGAGAGGAGAGAGAAGAGAGACAAAACAGAGTAATAGCGAGAGAGCGAGAGCGAGGGCCAGAAAGAGAGAGAGAGCGACGTAAAGAATATATCTCACGATTTTCTCCACAAAAACACATTTATTCCACAAGACACCAAATGGCATGTACACATTTCATCAAACAATTCGGAATCGCAATTTGTAACGTTGCTTTAAAAATTAAGGGCAATCATTAAATCGATGGGCAGTCGTTGAAGTGGTAGAGGGAGGGGCAGCAAGCGGAGATCATTTGTGGAATCTGAAATACGCGTTTTGGAGGGTTATGGCAGACTGGCAGAGATTTCTTAGGAAAAGGAAGGCTAGCAGAGATTCTTTAAGGTTTTGAACTTTTTGATTGCTAGAAAGTTACAAAGATGTTTTGAAAAATTTTAAATTCGCTAATTTACCCTTTTTGTGGCCCTTCGTTTAGGCTACGCTTTGGCTTTCGCTTAAGCCGGGGCTTAGGCTTCGGCTTAGGCTTAAGCTTACAAGGAAACCTCCCCAGCTCGAAGTTGGACTTCGATTAGCCATATAGCCTATCTGATGCAGTTTTTCACGCTGATAACGATACAGATATTTATTTTTGCCGAGCGCCACAGGAACATTGTTAAAAATCGATTGAAAGTTTTGTCATGTTTGGCAGCCCCGCCTCAAAGCCCCTCCCCACGGGGAAGGATCCATCGGCGGCGTGGTGTAGTTGGCAAGTACTTGGCCTACCAATCTAGAGGTCGCTACTTCGAGTCCTGCCGCTGACGACTTTTTTGCTTTTTGCTTCAAAAGTGCTGTGAAGGTCCTATAAGTCATCAAGAAATAATATTTTTCTGTTTTTTTGCACATGTGGTAGTTAATTCAGGTAGTTATGGCTACAACGATCCTCATGAATTTTATGACCTCAAAACGCTTACCTAGGTGCAGAAATGAAGCTTGACATAAGATGTAAAAAAACCTTAAAGACAGAACCTAGTATTTCCTTCTCCTTTTTTCAAAAGTTTTCAAAGGAGTGGCTGGTGCATTAAATAGTTGGTGATCCACCGATAATTCCAAATGTCTTCGGCTGAAAAACAGTCTTTCCGAGAAATCGAATCGAGCAACTTGAATTGGTGACCAAAAGTTCAAAAAAAACTTAAAACCATATTTCTTGATGACTGATAGGACCTTCACAGCACTTTTGAAGCAAAAAGCAAAAAAGTCGTCAGCGGCAGGACTCGAACTAGCGACCCCTAGATTGGTAGGCCAGTGGCACTTGCCAACTATACCACGCCGCCGCTGGATCCTTCCCCGTGGGGAGGGGCTTTGAGGCGGGGCTGCCAAACATGACAAAACTTTAAATCGATTTTTAACAATGTTCCTGTGGCGCTCGGCAAAAATAAATATCGGGATCGTTATCAGCGTGAAAAACTGCATCAGATAGGCTATATGGCTAATCGAAGTCCAACTTCGAGCTGGGGAGGTTTCCTTGTTAGGCGTAGGCTTAGGCTTCGGCTTAGGCTCATGCTTAGGCTTAGGTTTAAGCTTAGGCTTCAACTTCGGCTTAGGTTGAGGCTTAGGCTTAGATTTCGCTTAGCCTTAGGCTTGGGTTTATTACGTTTTTCCGTTGTGTACAAGGGCCAGGGGCTGACGCCTAATTTGCATTCCGTCTTACCGCATTACGACGGTCCACGGGCTACTAAAGAGCCTCCCAAAATTTGCTTCACAAAAATCGGTAGTAAATAGTAAACCGGGACGGAGTCTGCTAGCCTGCCCTCGTATCGATGCTTTTCCGGTCTGTGCTCGTCAGCTACTTCATGTGCTATGTTTCTAAATGCTGGGTGTCACGGCGTTTTTTGGGCTTTGGGGGTTTGGGGGGTTTGGGGGGTTTGGGGAAGGGGGGAGGGGGGGAAGGGGGAGGGAGGGAGAGGGGGAGGGGAAGGGGAGGAGAGATTTGCCTTTTTTGGCCACCACGTGTATGGGCCAGGCTTTTTCGTAAGTACCGCGCCTGTGGCTGCAGCCTTACCAACCGGTTGCTTAGGCATTTGGACTACGTAGAACACGTAGCCAAGCCAGTATTTTACTGCAAAGCCGAAGCTTTTCAAGCAGTTCACAAGCCGAAGCTTTTCTTAGGCATTAAGGGGAGCCATTACACCCATTTTCAGGCATTAAGGGGAGCCCTGACACCCATTGGTCAGAAGGTTGGGGTGAACCGACTGACGAATTGAGGTGGAGAGGGTTGGACTATCTGTCCAGCCAGTGGGCCAGGTGGGGGGCTAGTGGGAAAGCACGGCGGCGCCCGGTTCAATTACCCAAGTTTGCGGTTAATTACCCAATTTTCTTATGCCTAAGCCATGCCCAAGCATAAGCATAATTTTTCTGAAATTTTCAGAGAAATTGGGGTAAGAGTTCAAACTTTATTACGGATTTTGCTTGTTTTTTCCATAAATATTTATTTTACATTATTTTGGGTTGTGATTAAAACTCTTAGTATATTTTTTGGCGCTCTATCGGGTGACGTTAAAGAAATTTTGCCAAAATGTCGAAAATATCGAAAACTTTGGGAGCCTCGGGCTGGGGGTAGGGGGGTGGGGGTAAAGTAAACCGTAGCCCAAAAAACCATTTAAAATGCTATAAACCTGGTTTATATTTTGCTATTGGGCCGCTGAGCATCACAGGGAAAAATTTGCCCCCCCCCCTCCCCCCGCTAACAGCCCAGAACGATTTTTAGGAAAAGGAAAAAATTCGGAAGAACGAACCCGTTTCTGGCGTCACTGCCAGTACCGGTACGTCGTCCGTCACCGTCGTCAGTGCCCGTCAAGCCGCAACACCATCGTTTCCGCCCAGCTACAACAACATTTTTGTTCTAGATCAGGCATCAGGATGGCTTAGATCGACCAGCGGAACCAAATAAACCTACAGCCGGGGGTAATCGACGTGGTTGTCCGGTACCTGCCCGTAGCGCTCCCAAAAATACAGCTGCATCACCCCGCAGCAGAAGATGAACTGCGCAAGGGACTGAAAGCTTTGAAAGTAGGGGTATAAGCTTAAACCTAAGCCTAAACCCAAGCCCAAGCCAAGGCTTGAGCCTAAGCAAAAGCCTAGTCCTCCAGCTTACCCCGATAGCGTAGGCGCGGCCCAAACACAACCGTTCAAACGTCCCGCGCTTCATCGCTTCGAGGTCAGTACGCTCCCCAAGCGTGTCCATATGGTCGATCATCGTGGCGAGGAGCACCACGGTATCCGAACGGCCTGTGAATGGCTCGTCGTGGACCAGCATCGTCCTGAGGGGGGCGGTGACTTTCTCAAAGAATCTCTGCTAGCCGGCCCGTCCCCAAAGAATCACTGCTAGCCTACCCTTTCCCGAAAACGACGCACCTAACCGACTTGACGTCCCGCAGGTAGACGAGCAACTCGCTCAGCTCGTGCCACACTCGCGGACAGTCATATTTTTCCCAGTTCAACACCTGTCATCAATTTCAGGGTTTACGATTTTCGTTACGTGGAGGTGCGTGACTTCTAGCGGCTCGCCACCATCATCTTTCGTCACCAGCAGATGACGGGCCGCTACCTCCCAATTTTTACCCAACCGGAAGTTGAACTGGAATTGGTAGTTTGGGCCTTTCATAAAGAATCTCTGCTAGCCTGCCATTTCCTAAAGAATTTCTGCTAGCTCACCTTGCCAGTCGCGACGTTGACGACCTCGTAGCGACCAAGACATTTCGTTTCGCCCTCCTCCGCCGGGTAGTACGCCTTCCAATCTTCTTTTTCTTGCGCGTGCCGGATCAACATGATGCACTAAAGCGAATTTTAAGGGGCCTACAAGGAAAATACCTACCGTAACCCTTTCCTGGAATACCATAGCCCAGAAATCTTCAGAATTGGTTTGATTCGGGCTTTGAGCCAAGATATATTGCTGATCGGAATTGGGTGGGCGGATCCAGTTGGCGTGGTAGAAGCCGTCCGGGTTGTTCGCCTCTTTCACATGGACACGCGTCGCATCCAGGCAGGGGTAGATCTGGGAGAGAGCCTTTAGGAAAAGAGCAGGCTAGCAGAGATTCTTTAGGACTAGATAGTCTAGCAGAGAATCTTTCGGAAAAGCAAAAATCCTTACCGTGTAAGGCACGGGTAGACCACGTTTGTATTTCTCCCATACCAGAGCATTTCCTGGAGCCACGGAGGTGATTCGATGCCAGACCCAGGCGTCTTTGGCTGCCTAAATCACATCTCTTCTAAAGGGTCGGTCACTGGTCCCTAACCAACCCCCAGCTACAGTACCCCACCCTGTAAACGAAAAAGCGCTTGGGGGTACAGCTCTTTCGGGAAAAAACGCCAAAATCTCGACAGCCAAAATACCGACAACCATTTCCTTCCAAGTCTCTTTAGGCCACTTGTCGAACCTACGTTCACTTCTGTGGAAGCCAGATGAGGTCCCCAGTACGGGCGCACGGGCGCCGGGGGCGGCGCTTCGGGCGGCTTCTTTGACCTGCAGCAGACCATCCAATCGGGAAGCTGCCGGTAAAGTGACGGTTCCGCTCGAAAGTTGTGCCGCTTTCATTCCAAATTACGAATGCAAGGTTAAAGAGTGCCAGAAAGAGCGAGATGGAGAGAGAGAGCGGGATAGTGAGGGAGAGAGAGCGAGAGCGAGAGATCCATCGAGATTGAGAGTTATGGTTAGGGGATCTTGGATTTTTTGAAGATTTTGAAGCGGATTTTGGCGTTGTCGGGTGGTTTCCCACTAATCTTCCTGAAGGAATGTCACAAAGAAGCTAACTAATCTATCTCTCGATTTCTTTCATCCTCACACACTCTCTCTTTCTCACTCTCCCTCTCTCTCTATCTCGCTCTCTCTCGCTCTCCCTCTCGATCTCTCTCTCTATCTCTCTCGATCTTTCTCTCGC